GCGTGTACATCTATAAACATATATAGTATCTACAGTTCTTACGTCCTCTTGCTGAACTGACCCCTTTGCTGTTCTGTAATGTTCTTTTTACAGTTTTTGTTTTAAAGTCTTACCTGATAGAAGCGTAGTGACTCCTACTGTTGTTTTGTAGTGAGTATGTTTTCCATCCCTTCAAGTTTTGCGCTGTGTGTGTCCTTGAGTGAAGTGAGTCTCTTGTGGGCTGCGTGTACAGCAGGTCCTTGACCTGGGATGGTTTGACTTAAGATTTTCTGTCTTTACAGTGGTGCCAGCGGTACACTTGCAGCAGGAACTGTACTTGAGGTTTAGGATTTGGGTCTTTGCCCGGCCACCGATGTGTGGTGTGATCCTCTTTTGCAGGGCTCCTGTGGCTGTGGGAAGAGTTGGAACTTCTGTATTACACTCCTTGGTTTCAGACACCCAGGGCACAAGTGCAGGTGGGCAGAGGTGGGGATCTGCAAGGGAGAAGAGGAGCTCAGGGTGGGCCACACTGGTCCTTTCTGCAGGCTTCTGAGCCTGAACTAATAGCAAGATCCTGTCTCAAAGAACAAAAGCCTAAGCATCATTTTCTGGTCATTATTTTCTGCAGTTCAGATTACTTGAATGGAAGAGCAAATGACTCTCCATTCCCGACCTTACTTGAAGATTCCTCCTCCTCCAAATGCTATGCCTTGTGCTGATCCATGTACTTTTCAGTTCCTCATCTGCTTTACATGGCTTCGACTCTAGGATGGAGAGAGCTACTAACCTATTTCCCACATAAGCGCATTCTCTTTGGCTCGTTAAGCCGAGCAGGAGGGTGGTTCAGCTCTCTAGAGGCTCTGGGATGGGCCTGTTGCATTGGAGGAAAGTTGGTGCAGGTATACGCAAGGATCTTTCTAGGAAGGAGGATCAACGGCTTCCATGCACTTCTCACAGGAATCCAGGATCCAAAGCAAGTACTGAAGTGGTCTTTAAGGTTTTTATTTTTATTAGAACACGTTTGCAGTGCGCAGTGATCACACTCATCATGGGGAGTTGATACTGGACATGACACATCTTAATCATTTTATCACCCCCTCTTCTCCTCCTCCTCCTCCTTCCATTCTCGGTCCCCTTCTCATTTGCAAAATATCTATTTTCCTGTGACTTACTATGTATCTTTTATTTTGCTCTTTAGAGAAACCATGTGATAGTTATGCTTGTGTGCCTGATTTATTTCATTGAATATTACGGTTTTAAGGTGCATCCATTTTTCTACAAGGCTCAACATTTATCCTTTGTTACAGCAGAGTAGTACTCCATTGTCGGTAAATACCACATTGTCTTTATTCATTCATCTGTTACTGGGCGTACAGGGCACTTCTAAGATTTAGCTCTATAAGTTGTGCTGCTATAAATACGGATTTGCATGTATCACTGTAATATGACGCCTTTTTTTCTCTTCTGGAAGATCCCTACAAGGGTAATAACTGGGTTGAATGGAATTTCTATTTTTAGCTCTTTGAGGAATCTGTTTGATTTCCATAGTGGTCGTGCTAGTTTACATTCCCACCAACAGTGCAGAAACCCCACATACACAGTCTCTCCAGCATTTGTTATTATTTGATTTCCTGATGATGGTCATTCTTTCTGGAGTAAAATGGAATCTCGGTGTTGTTTTAATTTGCATTTCTCTAGTGGCTAGAGATGTCGAACATTGTTTCACGTAGTATTTGTGCTTTTTCTGAGACGTATCTATTCACTTTAGTTGCCCATTTTTGATTTGGGCTTTTATTGAGGGGATGTAATTTTTTTTTAAGTTCTTTATGTGTTCTAGACATTAGTCCTCTGTTTGAGAAGTAGTTGGCAGAAATTTTTTCCCATTCTGTAAGTTGTTTCCTTTGCTGTGCAAAAGCTTTTTAAATCTGACATAATCCCATTTGTTGATTCTTGATGTTATTTCTTGTGCAGCTGGGGTTCTGTTCAGGAAGTCTTTGCCTATGCCTGTATCTTTAAGAGTTTTACCTATGTTATGTTCCAGCAGATTAAGTGTTTCTGTTTGAATATTTAGGTCATTGATCCCTTTGATTTTATTTTGGTGCATGGTGATAAGGATCTAGATTCAATCTTCAGCCTGTGGATAGCCAGTTTCCTCAGCACACTGCTTGTTAAGGTAGCTGTCTTCATTCCATTGTATGTTTTTTGCCCCTTTGTCAAAAATCAGATAGCTGAATATGCTTGGGGTTGTTTCTGCATCTTCTCTTCTGTTCCGCTGATCCGATCCACAAGGCTGTGTTTGTGCCAGTACCATGCTGTTTTTAACACTGTAGATTTGTAATATAACTTGAAATCGAGGATTTTGATGGCGTTCTGCTTTGCTCTTGTTGCCCAGGATTGCTTTTGCTGCTCTGGGTCTCTTCTGGTTTCCTACGAATTTTAGGAATGTTTTCTCTACAGAGTGTGATTGGTATTTTGATGGGAACTGCATCCAGTCTATATATCAGTTTTGAAAGTATGGCCATTTTGACAATACTGGTTTTCCCTAGTGAGGAACAGGGTGTATCTTTCCATTTTCTGCTGTCCTTCTCGATCTCTTTTTTCATAGTGCTGTAGCTTTTATTACAGAGGCTTTCAGTTTGTTAGGTTGATTCTTAGATATGTACTTATTCTGGAAGCTATTTGTGAATGGTAGTATTTTGTAATTTTTTTGGTGGGTTCATTACTGGTGTGCACGAATGCTATTGATTTTTGTGTGTTTTGTATCCTGCTACTTTGCTGAATTTATTAGTTCTAGGAGTCTTTTGGTGGAATATTTTGGGTCTGCTATTTATTTATTTATTTATTAATTATTTTTTGGTATCAGGGATCGAACTCAGGACCTTGTGGTTGGAAGGCAAGCGTGGCACCACTGAGCTACATCCCCCGCCCCTGGGTCTGCTTCTTAACGGGTCATGTTGTCTGTGAATGAGAATAGTTTGGCTTCTTCCCAGACCCTTGAACTACAACTTGCACTCAGGGCTAGGGAAGTAGCTCAGCGATAGAGCATTCTTTAGCATGTACGAGACCCTGGGTTCCATCCCCTGCGCGGGAGAGAAAAAGACTTGGTTTTCACTGCTCTTCAACTACTCTATTATTTTGTCAGACTCACTTCTGCTTGAGCCACGGTCTGCAGTAAAACCTTATTAAAATGTCACTGACTGGGTGTGGAAATTTTTTTGCTATTTCCAGTCTTTTAAGCGATTATTTAAAAAATTACACATACATGAAATCTAAGTTCAGTACCACTTTTGACAATACAAGGACTTTAAAGTTCTTTTACCCTAAGCTATCCCTGAACTTATATAGTGTTTTTCAGTGTTTTATTATGTCACAAAATAGGATGTTATTCATGTGGATAATATTAGTTTAGGTTTATTTGTATCTTCCCCAGTTTCTTTGATCACCAATCTTGTACTGTAGCACTTCTTTTTAGCATTGTTTTTTCCTTTAAGCACGTACATCCATTTGAGATTTCTTTAGTTAAGGACTATGGACAGAAAAGGTCTCTAGTTTTTAGATTATTTATTTGGAAACGTTTTTATTTTGCCCTCCCGATTTTGAATGATAGGATTGTCTCTTATGTAAAAGCAGTTCATTTGTTATTTTCTTTTGGCATTTTGAAGACACTACCCCATTTGCCAGCTTCCTGGTTATTCTTGAGGACTTGTCTGTAGATGCAGTTACATTGCAGGCAATCTGTCTTTTGTCTGTGGGGTTTTAAAAAAATTCTTTTATTGGTACACTTCAGGTATACAATATGTTTACATTTGTCATTGGGCGCTTGTACCTGTACATGATGTATCTTGATTCTTATTTTTTCCCCATTACCTGTCCTCCCTTCACCCCTCCACCCTTCCCAATTTACATAGATTTCATTTCCATTTTTTTTTCTTTTGTCATAATTTTTCCTTTCCCTTTCCCCTCCTACCACCTGTACACCTTTGGACCTTTTCCTGTTTCAGATTATCAGTTACTCATTTTAATAATTTTAACCCTTGTTTACACGATCAGTTTCTCACACTAGAGAAACTATTCGGTATTTACACGTGTGTCCTATTTATTTCGCTTAAGAGGATGGCCTCGATATGGATCCATTTAGCTGTAAATGTCTCTAGTTTCTCATTCTTTATGGCTGAGTAGTACTCCATTTTATTAAAAAAACCTGTCTGTGGTTGTTTTTGAGGTCATCTCTTGGACTTTGATGTTCTGGAGTTTTACGTGGTATATTTTGCAGTAACATTATTTATTTTCACGAATACATTTGGTATATGTCGTGCTTCTTTTGTGGAATTGTGCTCCATTGGGTCTAAATCACTCTTGGCCATTGTCTGTAAGTACTGTTTCATCGGGAATTCCAAGTAGGTGGGAATCGGACCTTCTCATTCTGTCTTCTTTGTCTCTTACGTTCTCATTTCCATCTCTTTTTCATTTTTTAGTTTATTCTCTTTTCTAGGCATATATGAAAGTTGTTGATCTGTTTTATTTTCTTTTTGTAAGATATGGTCTAGATATTTCCTTGACTGTAGCTCAAGTTCAAATGAGCTGTGTGTAATCTGCTAGATTTACCCAATTTACCTGATGATGTTGAACATACAAATATAGTATGAACTAGACTTCCTGGGGACTTTTTATGAAAATGGATAAAATGTTCCTCCTCCTCCTCCTCCTCCATCTCCTCCTCCATCTCCTCCTCCTCCATCTCCTCCTCCTCCATCTCCCCCTCCTCCCATCTCCTCCATCTCCTCCTCCTCCATCTCCTCCTCCTCCATCTCCTCCTCCATCTCCTCCTCCTCCATCTCCTCCTCCTCCTTCTCCTCCTCCATCTCCTCCTCCATCTCCTCCTCCATCTCCTTCTCCTCCATTTCCTCCTCCATCTCCTCCTCCTCCATCTCCTCCTCCTCCATCTCCCCCTCCTCCTCCTCCTTCTCCTCCTCCTCCTTCTCCTCCTCCATCTCCTCCTCCATCTCCTTCTCCTCCATTTCCTCCTCCTCCATCTCCTCCTCCATCTCCTCCTCCTCCATCTCCTCCTCTATCTCCTCCTCCATCTGCTCCTCTTCCATCGCCTCTTGTGAAAGACTTTATTCTTGGAGCTGCTTTGGTTTACAGAAGTCCTGGGTGGGAGTGAGGAGCTCCCATGAAGCAGGAAATAGTGAGGACCCTGGCACAGATGACTCTTTAATACAAAGATAGGAGGAAAAGGCGCCTTTTAATGATGCTGGCTGCTCAGCAAGTGACTCCAGTGGGACTCGGGAGCCCCGGATAGAAGTTTGCTCTTCCTTCTCACCCACTTTTACATCTATGAGGCCGAATTCCACTGGAGTTCCCGCGAATACAGCTAGCAGGATTTGCCCAGAGCCGAGTGGCAGGGTGGGCAGAGGGCAGAGCAAAGAGCTGTGTGGTGACAGATGTCAGAGTCATCATGGTAACTCAGCGCGTTGCACAAAGAGCACAGTCCCCCGCTGGCCCACAGCTGCCCAGGTCCAGGAGGGCCGTCTGCCCTCCCCTGCAGCCCCTCTCCTGCCCTCACCTCCCTGTAATCTGCCTGTCAGGTCGGTCTGGACTGAGCCCCATCCGGGCCCAGCCCCGAGGCCCCTGATGGAGGTGCCCCACCCTGTCACCCTCCGGCCCGCAGCCCCCGTGGCCCTGGGTTCTCCCCCAGACAGCTGCCCTTTCCAGACGTCCCCGCATGGGCTCCAGCCCGGTCGCAGCCACCCTGGGACCGAAGAGAGGATGAGCACTTTGGCCCTGGGATCCCGACCCGGCCCTGCGGAGGTGGGGGGGGGGGCTGCTGTCCCCGTGTGGGTGGCGAAGCGGGGAGACCAGGCAGTGCATTGACAGTGGGGCAGTAGGTTTATCAGTCTTTCCCCTGTACGTTTCCACAGAAACATAGGCACACACTGGAGGACTCAAGTTTTGCTGTTTACCATGACCATGAGCAGTAAGGGAGCCGAGCCTGGTGGCGCACGCCTGTCATCCCACCACTGTCAGGAGGCTGAGGCAGGAGGATCGCCCCGAGTTTGAGGCCAGCCTGGGCGACACAGCGCTGCTCCTGGCCACTCTCGCAGGTCCACGCGCGTGCTGGCCGCTGACCAACTCCAACAGGGCCGTCCTTTGGGTGGAAGGCGCCTGGCTTAGCAGGAAGGAGTGTGGGGGAGTCGTTTGTGCGTCTCCAATAGAGAAGCAAGCACCTGCTGGGTGAGACCCACGCCCTCTGGCTGTCTCTCTCCCCCCGCACCTGTCCCCCTGTCTCCCTTCTCCCCTGGGTCTGAGAGCAGCAGGAGTCCTCCCTTCTGGGCACAGGCCCGCCGGGGTTTGCAGAGGCTTTGCTATTAGAGGTCTCTCCTTTGTCTGGCGCCTCCCTGGCCGCCCAGCCCTGGGATTGCACAAAGCCCTGGGCCCTCACCTGATCACCTCATTAGCACCTCTTTCGGTCTTGCCTGAGGGGAAGCTGCCTCAGGCTCAGCCACCCTGGCCGTGACTGCTCCCTCTGGGGGTTCTGGAAAATGGGCCTGGGCACGGCCCAGCGCTGCAGGCAGGGACATGCGTTTCCCAGAGGCCTGAGCTTGGGGACTCCGGCCCGCCAGGCTGCGAGGGTCCCACCCTGCGCTGAGTCCCTGGGCCACCGCGGGTCCCCAGCTCCGTCCGGGTCCCCTGCTCTGCACACCTGTGGTGCTCCGTGGCCCCGCTGGACAGAGCCGGCCTGACTCTGGCCTCCAGGGAATAAGTGAGACAGAAGACGCAGAATCTCTCTGTGACTCTGGGCTGGGTTGTTTCTGGTCCCGGGCATCCACGCAGGGCCTCAGGCTTGGCAGGCAGGCGCTGCGCCCCTGAGCTAGTTCCCCGGCCCAGGACTTTTTTAAACGTGGGTTTGCTGTACTTTTTCCAGTCCCCAGTGCCAGAGACTGACAGGCACCGTTCCGGTTGGGGGCTTCCTGCCTGCACGCTGCACCCTGCGCTCTGCACCCCGGGGACGCTGGCCTCCCTGCCCCTTTGCTGCCCCGGCCCGGCCTCCCAGACACGGCTGCGATATTGACTTCCTGGGCCTCCCCTCGGTCCGGTCCCGCTGGAGCTTTGCTCGGGGCCACACTGTGGGCGCCCAGCACTGCCCAGCACCTGCCCTCCCGGGAGCGGACGGCCCAGGGCGCAGACTCGCGGTGACCTCGCGCCTCGTGCGTGTGACCTCGCGCCTCGTGCGTCGTCGCCTCCCCGGTGCACCCGTGTGAAGGACGCGCTTTCTAGACTTTGGAGCCTGTGGTTTCCGTCCCTTCCGTGCGGCCCGACCCTCTTCCCGGGCGTCATTTCTGGTGCCACTGCTGTCCCGTGCCGCGCGTCTCCCCTTCACGCTGGATTTCATGGGAACGCGTGAGAGCCCTGGGGTGGGTGGAGGATCCCTGCGGTGAGGTCCCCCGCTGACAGCCGCGTGACCCGTGCTCCAGGACGGGGCCACCCCGACCAGAACCAACGGCTCATTTTAGGGAGCTGTGTTGCTGGACCAGAGGGCCTGGGGCCAACGCAGCCCGGCCTTGGGGCCTGGGGAGCCATGCTGATGGTCCGGAGGATGACTGCATTTGAGTGCCTAGATTTTTTGCTTATTATTTTTTGAGACAGGGTCCTGCTATGTAGCCCAGGCTGGCCGCGAACTCGTGGCAGTCCTCCTGCCCCAGCCTCCCAAGTGCCGGAATTACAGTCGTGCGCCACCGCGCCCGGACAGGACACATAGATTTTGGTCCATGAATAAATGTAGGCTGCTGTACAGGAAACAGTAAGACATCCCCTGAAAAACAAGCCCTGCTCTGTTTCTAGAGCAAAAAGTATTAGAAGACCAAGTCTTATTTCCAGGGAAACGCGGTATTAGCAAACGCGGGTATCGGGGGCCGGGGATTTAGCTCAGTGGTGCCAGTGCAAGGTGCTGAGTTCGATCCCCGGTATCAGAAGAAGAAAAGAAAGCAGACACCGTGGATCTCGGGATGGGCACTGCTGTCAGTGGGCCTGCCTGGCCCCCACACCCCTCTGCCTGAGCACAGTGGCCTCACTGCACCCCAGCTCAGGCCCTAGTTAAGGGTCCCCCTTGCCTGTCTGCGTCTGTCCAGGTGTTGTGTGTGGTGCTGGCCCTCGGAGGGGAGCAGGCCTGGCGCCCCTCCTGCACGCGTGTTTGTCCTCGTGGTGCCGGCCTCCCTGTCCCCTGCCTGTACATGGGTCCGAACCTTGCCTGGTCTCACGTCAAACAGTGGCCCCCACCCTTCCTACTGCGCTGGGCCCCTGCAGTGGCCGGCGTCCCCGGGCCCCCAGCTGCTGATCCTCCCCCACGCTGTCCTGGCCCATGGCTTCCAGCCCCCGGCTGGCCTGAGGCCCACCGTGTACTATTGATGGCTTTTTAAATGTCTTTCAAGAAATAGCTTATCTTCAGGACTTCACATTGTCCCAAACAACTGTTTGGTTGGTTTATATTTATTTATTTATTTATTTATTTATTTATTACTTATTTTCTTTGGTATTGGGGATCGAACTCGGGACCGTGTGCTTTCAAAGAACCACTGAGAACCACTGAGCTAAATCCCCAGCCCCTGTTTTTATTAGTTTTCAGCAGAGTCTCACTGTGCAGCTCAGGCTGGCCTTGAATTCACCGGGATCCTCCTGCTTCAGCCTCCCGAGTGCTGGGATGACAGACTTGCACTACCACGCCTGGCCTCAAACAAGTGAAATTTACAGAAATTATACAAGCCAGCTCTGTTTTCCTCAAATATTAACATCTCGCAGCATTTCATTTTCGCGATAGTTTATTTCTTTAGGAAAACCAAAGCAGATGTACACAGCCGTAGCACACACAGGCACTGTTGCACACACAACCCTCCAGCACCAATACAGATGCACACCTGCATTCCTAACGTGCACACACACATTGCTGTTTGCCTTTCACTGCAAAGGCTGTAGAAGTTGAGGAACAGCCTAACAGGGTCCAGGAGAGACCAAGGGAAGAGCATGGTGCCAGAGGGGAGGGAGACGCCCACTTCCCAGGAGGACAGAAAATCTCCCGCCAGCACCCAGTTCTGTCTCAAAGCCCAGGTTGCTTTCCCTGGGCCCCAAGAACCGATTCCCCAGTAACTGAAGCAGAGTGACGCCAGGCTGCGGTCTTCTTGGGGTGGAGGTCCTGAGAAGTCCCAAGCTGAGTGTGAGCTCCCTGAGGCCCTCCTGGGCTCCTCTGCCCTCAGCAATTAGGGAGCAATGCATGACTGGCCTTGGTGTTCAGATTTATACCCAGAACAGTTTATTAGAAGAGGGGGACAAGAAAGTCCGGGGATGGGAAAAACCCTTGAACACTCACGGAAACGGCCCCCCTGTTCTACCTCATCTCTTGTCAGGACGGTGGAGGATTTGTAGAACTGGTAAAGTCTGGTCCCTTTGCACTGGGGGGGGGCAGTGGTCGCCTCTGAGGACCTCTTAGAACTGGGGTGTGGGGTGTGCAGTGGCTGCATGGTTCTCCATGCCCGCTCCGGTGTGGTTGTACTGCTAGTGACTTACTCTTCCTGCAAACACAGGGCCTCACCCGTGTGTGTCCCCTGGTGCCGGATGAGGCATGACTTACGGCTAAACCCTCGCCCGCACTCCCTGCACACATAGGGCTTCTCCCCTGTGTGTGTCCGCTGGTGCC